TTGAAAAATAAATAATATACGAAGATAACAAGATATTTTTTTTATCCTTGTTTTAAATACTGTGTTTGTTGTTGCTGTGTCATTATTTTATGATTGTGCTGTCTGCGTTATGCAGATTAGTATTTCTTTTGCACGACACCTGTTGCATTCTTCTTAAAGGGTCGATTTTTCTTATTATGCCTCAGTTTTGATTTTTCTTTTTTGTAGGTGCACTCTTGTGGTTGCTAGGCATTGTGGGAAATAGAAAGAAGAAACAGACCCTTAGCAACAAGAGTGGAAAATGAAAGAAACACTCAAGCTCATTAGATTACGCAAATGCTTGCTGTGTGTTATTGGTGACAGACAAAAGGAGGGTCCAGATCACCACAGGTCCTAATAAAAAGCTGAATCGATCAAGGTGGCTGTGCTCTGAATTGAATACTAATGTTTTGCTTACTGCATACCTCATTGTGTCTTAATTTCACTACGTTGCTTGTAATAATTGCAATTATTTTGCATTTTGTATTTGATTTTATTTAAATGTTTTAACATTTGGCAGTCTGACAAATTAATGCGTCTAAAAAGAGATGCCGTTAACATGATATTCACTGCAGCGTGTTTGTGTTATACTTCACATTTCAGCAAATGTTGTGGGTCATCATGGTGTTTCGTGCTTGCTTTGCACACAACACTGGCCTATACTACACACATATACTGTAGGGCTCCAGACTAACGTTTGAGAGCAGAAGCATTGGGGATTGTTAATCATAAAGGCAATTTAATCATAATATTACTATTGTTTCGCATTAATAAGTGCAGTTACTAATAATATTGCGTTTATTTCTTGAAAATGCACAAATTATTAGTTTTATAGGGATAATGTTTGATATTCAACTGTTATTAAATGGACCATTGTTCTTCTATAGTATCAAACTGAACTGACCGGCAGCTTCAGTGATTATAAAAGGAGCGCTCTTTACTTACTTTCTGTGTATTGAAGTTTTAGTTTTTCTCGAGACTTCGTGACTTTCCACACTTCATACTTCAGTACAAAAAAGTGTGAAACTTTGACAAAAATGTATTTCTTGATGATTTGATATTTTATAATATCTGAATATAAACTTAAAAGCACAATGTGTGTGAAAAAAAAAAGTGGAAATGGCTAATAAGCCAATAAGTGCTCATCTGCCACCAGCTACTGATTATAGTGGTAGTTTCATATATTTTTTTATATTTAAATAAAAGCATTTGTTTGCCACGTGTTAGTTTTCCTATGTCTTGGGGACAATCTTTGATAGATGAACAAGTAATGTTTTTAGTCATCACATTAAAAACACATTTGAACTGGATAATGTAAAGCACTTTGAAGTGCTGGAAAAAGTGCATGAATTTCACTCAAAAGGTTGTACGAACCCTGAAATGAACAATGTAAAAAACATTTGAATATTTATACGTACAGTGTACGTAACACTGCCACAATACCATGGTTACATTTAGCGTTACTACATTAAGTCCATGGTGAATGTTTTGTGGACTGAAAAGCATAGCACAATGTTTCTCTTGGTTTCCACGTCAGCGCTGTTTGATCTGATATATATATATACAGTATATGGTTAATAACAGAGAATTCTGCACTGAATCTGAATGCTTCTCGCTGCGATGTATTAATAACTCACTTGATAGTTGCACCAGTGTCATGTGATTGAGACTAGCCCGCGAGTAAACCTGTATTTAGCTGGCGCTGCGCTGTCTATTATTGGTCCGAGCTGATAAGCGGTCCGCGCCGCGCAGCTCAAACGAGTCGCACGGTTTCGTTCTGCATTCGTTTTGTTCGGTTCATTGTTTCTCATATGCAACAGAAATGGCAGCTTTTATCATTTGGGCAATGTGGTGTTGGCACCAGTGCGACCTCTAACAACATTTTGTTGCACCGGCAGTTTTTTACACATGTAATTTACACATTTAATTTGTGTAGTCCTATACTGTCTGACATACAAAAAAAATGAGTACGAGTACAAACCCAAGCATTCAGGTTCCTTCAGAACTTGTTCAAACTTGTCTTTTTAATGCATACAATACCTCACCGCTAAAAATGTGTATTATACACAATGCAAAGGCTTGGGTTAGTATAGTGTTCAGCTCTGTACACACAGTCGTTGTCGTTTGGCTCTTGTCTGTTGGCTTTGCTGTAAGTGGAGGGGACGTGGCCGTCATTACACAGTAAAGTGAATCTTCTACGGCGGCTGCTGATATTTACGGGCTTGTTTGGTCTGCCTGCACCACCCCCACCCTGACCCGTACCCTTCCCGCCTCGCCTGCAGTTTGCACAAGAAAATATTTCCAGATGTTCCAAGAAAAGTCCTCTATTTCGACAGCAATGTTTGTGTGAGCTTCACAAGTCATGCCAGAGGCGGCGTTTTATTTGAAGATTGGGTGTTGGTGTTGTTATAAGCGGCTCCAAATCTGAGAGGTAATAGTTTATTCTTATAAGGGTTAATAATCCTATATAAGGGTTAGTGATCATGAAAAGTTCTGCTACTGTAAAGAAGAGTATCTTACTGGCAGCTGGATTGGCATTTGTCTATCAGTCTGTCTTTCTATCTATTGTTTTGTCTATCTATCTATCTATCTATCTATCTATCTATCTATCTATCTATCTATCTATCTATCTATCTATCTATCTATCTATCTATCTATCTGTTCTATCTATCTATCTATCTATCTATTGTTCTGTCTGTTCTATCTATCTATCTATCTATCTATCTATCTATCTATCTATCTATCTATCTATCTATCATTCTGTCTGTTCTATCTGTCCATCTGTTCTATCTATCTATCTATCTATCTATCTATCTATCTATCTATCTATCTATCTATCTATCTATTGTTCTGTCTGTTCTATCTATCTATCTATCTATCTATCTATCTATCTATCTATCATTCTGTCTGTTCTATCTATCTATCTATCTATCTATCTATCTATCTATCTATCTATCTATCTATCTATCTATCTATCTATCTATCTATCTATCTATCTATCTGTCTGTTCTATCTATCTATCTATCTATCTATCTATCTATCTATCTATCTATCTATCTATCTATCTATCTATCTATCTATCTATCTATCTATCTATCTATCTATCTATCTATCTATCTATCTATCTATCTATCTATCTATCTATCTATCTATCTATCTATCTATCTATCTATCTATCTATCTATTGTTCTGTGTGTTCTATCTATCTATCTATCTATCTATCTATCTATCTATCTATCTATCTGTCTGTTCTATCTGTCTATCTATCTATCTATCTATCTATCTATCTATCTATCTATCTATCTGTCTGTTCTATCTATCTATCTATCTATCTATCTATCTATCTATCTATCTATCTATCTATCTATCTATCTATCTATCTATCTATCTATCTATCTATCTATCTATCTATCTATCTATCTATCTATCTATCTATCTATCTATCTATCTATCTATCTATCTATCTATCTATCATTCTGTCTGTTCTATCTATCTATCTATCTATCTATCTATCTATCTATCTATCTATCTATCTATCTATCTATCTATCTATCTATCTATCTATCTATCTATCTATCTATCTATCTATCTATCTATCTATCTATCTATCTATCTATCTATCTATCTATCTATCTATCTATCTATCTATCTATCTATCTACCTATCTATCTATTGTTCTTTCTATCTATTGTTCTATCTATCTATCTATTGTTCTGTTTGTTCTATCTATCTATCTGTCTATCTCTCTCTCTATCTCTCTATCAATCTATCTATCTCTCTATCTCTCTCTATCTCTCTATCTATCTCTATCGCCTTGGTTAGTTGGGGACATTTAATTTAATATTCAACAATATTATTGATCTGCCTGCATTGACACCATCATATGAGAACTGAACTGAGCTGGACGATGACATCACTGGGTTCTCCAGAGCGGCTATATATATTTGAACTAAATTAATTACTTTTTTTACAATAAAAATGAACCATCACTGAACTTACTTAAGCTGGACTGTGATGATATTTTCTTCTAGAAACAAACTTTGTTGCATTATTTTCCTGTTATCTCTGTAAAGCTGCTTTGAAACACTCTGTATTGTAAAAAGCGCTATATAAATAAAGGTGACTATCCTTTCTTGCTCCGTGTTTAATGTGAGCTGGTCGGGGTGTTGTGGCGCTCGTCGCTGGCGGGATCGCGTCTGGAATATGCATCTGTTTCAGTCCTTTTCAGGCGGTTGAATGACTGCCAGGAATATTGCGCCGCTGCATATTTTCTATTGGCTGAAGTCTCTGGCGTTACTCAACAGGTTAGGCCGTCTCTAATGGTTCAGGAAGGGGTGTTTTCCTTTAGTGTTTGAACACCTCTGCATTTGACCGAATGTGACACTGTGCTTAATCGATATAGCTGTTTTTTCCATACGTGCTTTGATGCGACACATATTACACTGAGTTGCTTCTAGCTTTAGTTCATGCTTGTGATGATGTTCCTCATTTGTTAGTCTCTTTGGATAAAAGCCTCGGTTAAATGATTAAATGTAAATATAATCCTTAAATGGCCTATGATTAGATAACACCAATGCTTCAATTTCCAGAATAACACCCGTCTGTTATTCCTTTTACTGTAGGTGGATTCTATCTATCTATCTATCTATCTATCTATCTATCTATCTATCTATCTATCTATCTATCTATCTATCTATCTATCTATCTATCTATCTATCTATCTATCTATCTATCTATCTATCTATCGAATCTGTCTATGTATCTATCTGTCTATTTATCTCGAAATATAAAATATCTCTATATTACTTTGTTAAATATTTACTAGACCCTAGTAAATGCTACATAAACAAATTAGAGGTGTAAAGTAACAGTTAAATGAAGAAAATTTAATGTTGTGCCTTCTATAAATGGTCCTATTCATGATGGGAAACTATTATTGGCCTTGTTTCCTAAACAAATCAAATCTTGGCCTTCTTTTCCAGATCCCGGACAGAAGAAAGTGCCTTTTCTGACGTGGTTCCTACTTGAAGCTGCTCTCCGCGCCCATCCTACACTGGCTTGGCCTCCGAAAAGATCTCAATTCCTCAGACTTGCCAAAGCACAAGGAACCAACACGCTCTTTCCATTCACGGACCATTATTAGATCTTGTTCCAAGGAGAGCCATTGCCTTCAGGTAGAGTTTTCCACAACCGTCGGCCTCAAGACCATTTGGAGACCTGGAGCATGTTCTTATTGTCGCTCCAGTGTTGTGCACCTGGGACTAAATGACTGATGAGCGACTTGACAGAGATTGACATCTTCACTGATAGCGGCCATCTCCCATGCGACAGCCAACGGGGGTCTGAATGTGACATCTCTATTTAAAGGACCTCGCCAACAAACTGAGACAAACCTCAAAACTACATCAAGAATCAAACACATTCGCAGACTATTAAAAAACAAGTCAACAATCTACTGACGCCATAGAGCCTGCAGGTTCTCGACACAACTTTTGCTATGGCTTTAAACATCGCGTCGATACGAGACACGAAATGGCTGACTCTCGAGGTGTGCCGGCAGTTTCAGAGAGGGACGTGCTCGCGCAGCGACGAGGAATGCAAATTCGCGCACCCACCCAAGAGCTGCCAGGTGGAGAACGGGCGGGTGATCGCCTGCTTCGACTCGCTGAAGGTACGATTTTACACTTACGTGATGCATCTTTTTGTTTGCAGCTTTCTTTCAACAAGAAGACATTTGATTAGCTCGGACTCATTCCTAATGTCATTTTTTGGTGGAAAGACTCATTTTTGAGTATTGTTTTGTTTCATAAATAAATCCAAAGAGCGTGAAGCATGGCTAAGGGATGTTTTTAGGCATGACCTTTGGCGAAATGCCTTTAACGTAACGTTAACCAACTATTTAGCCGGCTCGCAAAACAGCAATTTGGCGCATTACTATAGAATTGCTGTCACAGATGTGCATTTATCTGCATTTTACATCATTGGCCAATCAGAGTTGAGTACAAAACAAGGCGATCTATGTTCCAGAAAATACTGTAATTGTGATTCATCCACCAAATATTATTTTATGAGTGAAACTATAGGCTATTTATGTTGCTATTTAGCTAGTTATCGCATTCAGTTGTGTATTTTGACACATTTTAGAGCTGGAACTTTGTTTTATAATACGTAAGTTCACTATTGCATGGCCTTTTTCTTAGTTTTATTTAAGGGTGCTCCGATTGATCGGTCGCCGATCATGATCGGCCGATAATTGCTTTGGGATGTGTGATCGGCGGTCTCTATAAAGGCCGATCCAGAAAAGCCGATCAGATGACGCAAAACTCGCGAGACCATTTTTTTACGCCTGGTAAAAATGGCTTCACCGGTCTGGCAATTCTACAACAGGGCTCTCAAGTGTCAAGCATTGAGCGTGACAGTCACTCATTTCGGTCTTTTGTCACGCTTTCCCGCCACACATTGTATTTCTCACGCTGAAAAACTATTTGTAATATATTTAATATGCCGCAGCGGCCAAAACTCTGGCCGCGCCGCTCTCACTGTGGAACCGGCATGAATCAAGTGCGTTTCCTCTGGTGTTGTTCTTCGAGCTACACAATAGCCAATCAGAAAATAGCACTATTGTATCTGGGTAAGATTTAACGCAACAACCAATGACAAAAATGTATCCAAACCCCCACCCCGTGCGTCCGTCAAATCACTCGTACATATTTTTTTCTCTCATCAAAACTGAATATGTTCATCAGCGGTTACAGTTATATCAAGCAAGGATACGTTTGTGTTTTGTGATTACACCGGAATGAATAGAGTCCGCAACGGCGATAGTTTGAAGCGCGCGTCCGAGTGAAGACTGCACAGAGCGAGGCACAGAGCACTGTATCCATGACACTGATCGCCGCGGCAACGAGCGCGCAGCTTGAGTTCAAAAACACATAGCGCTAGATTTCTTATTTAATAGCGAACTAAATGAATGATCTGCTAGTTAACTGAAGATGTTTTATTTATTTATATTAGGTACATTGTGGGACAGACTTCACTGGATCTAAAAAAAAATCAATCTAACCATAGTGACCAGTAGTGGTGGCTTTCTTAATATGTTTAAAATAATTTTGCAAGGGTTCTTCACACACACACACACACACACAAAAAGGTTTCTCTACCTCTCTCTTCCTCTCTAAATGCCCACAAAATCTAACTAAGCATCCCAGAAAAAAGCAAAGTTATAGATACAGATATGGAAGTTGTTCGTTTTTGTTTTGTTTGTTTTTTTTGTTGCTGTGCACTTTACTACCGGTGGTCCTTTAAGTGTATTAGAAAAACTGATGGCTGACTGACTCAAAACATTATTTTGGCTATAGCCTTTTTTGTTGCTGTTTTTAGTTTAAAGTAGTCTAAAGCTAAATTTAAAGACTCAGATGTTCTGTCTTTTATTTATTTTATTTTACATTCTACAGGAAAGTTGTATGTCAAGCCCTAAGCTGCTCCCAATAACCAAGCTGCTATGTTAATACATGTTGCTTGCAAATAAATACACAGGTGTCAATTCATTATGCATTGTCTTCTCTTAAATGTAATACTTAATGTAGGCTACATTGTTGTTAAATATAGTTTAATAAGTAATGCTACATGATAAAAAGAAGTCTTCAAATAGACCCTGTAATCGGTGATCGGTATCGGTATCGGGTGATACAGCTTCCAGTAATCGGTGATCGGCCCCAAAAATCCTGATCGGAGCACCCCTAGTTTTATTAAACAGCACCAACAGCAATGTGATAAACGATTCCAGATAAATAATTGTGTTAATTAATAATAATACACAATTTCAACAAAGCAACTTGGCGCATTGATATACTGTAGAGTTGTGGTCACAGGCGTGCATTTATAAGCATTTCCCTTCTGACAAAAACATGGAGATTTAAAATTCTAGAAAATATGGTAATTGCTATATGACAATTCTAGCTAGTTATCGCATTCACCGTGCGTTCACAGGTGTGTATATCCATGTATTTTTAAAGTTGGAACCTAAATTCACTTTGTGTGCATAAACACCATTTTTGACTGTGATTAGTTTCTAGGCAATTATTATTATGTAAATGAAGCACGGGAACTTGCTGCACCCGGTAATTGATCGAGTGAACGTCAACACATTTTTTGAGGACACTTTTTGTGTTGCTGGCAAATAGCTTGTCTTAGTGCAGCACTCTCAAATTAGAGTGCATGTGTCAGCTCTGCCACACTGCATACTGCACACTTCAAATAAAGCTGACCTATAGAGAGCTAAAGGGCAGCGCCGCTCTCTCTTATCCAGCCAGTTTTATGTCTTTCCATCTAACGTTACCATGCCATGTCCGTCATATACGGCCTGGCAGTGGGTTTCGGTGAATGCCCGTGCTGTTTTTAGAACCGTGACCATGTGCAAAACAAATGCAGTGAGCAATAATTAAAGTGTCAGATTTTAGCCCATGCTTTTTAGTTTTTTGTTCAAATTAGGCCTGTCAAACGCGTTATTAACGGTGTTAACGCAAACCCATTTTAACGGCGTTCATTTTTTTTATCGCGCGATTAACGGTCTTTTTGGCCTAGCAAGCTTTGTAGTTTTTTTTCACAGGCTTTTGCAACAGGACGCGGCATGCGCGGCGCTGCGCTATGAAACCCATTCATTTCAATGGCTTGCGCCGCGCGAGGACGTTTTGAAAGCGCAAGCGGATCTAGCTAGACCGGAAACAAAACAACAGGCACAAATAGGCCAAATAGTAGGTTAACGTTACGTTTTGAGTGGATGACGAGCGCGAGACGCCGAAATGGATGCCAATAAGATTCTGAATGCAAAGTAGACCAAAGTGATCTGTGTTTTGTCGTTGTGAACTGAGCTATCATCATCGCAGCACGTCCAGTCTGAAACACCACTTGATGATGGCCAAGCACACACACACACACACACACACACACACACACACAGCTGATGCGAATTCTCCGCCCCCTCGTCAATATCAGGACCTCGTCAGTATTTCTTTCACCCTTTTATTGATGGACAGTGTTACATTGTGTGAGAGATTATTTGCTCCAAGTGAGAATGTTAGTGTGAAATTGAACACAGTATATGACAATGTTGTTTTCAATAAAAAAAACATATGCACAAAGCAAGTCGATCCACTTTTCCATGTTGATAAGAGCATTAAAATTAGAAAAAAGAATGGGACAAAAAGAAATCTTGAGACATTTAGAATAGATAAAAATGTGCGATTAATCGTGAGTTAACCATGACATTAATGCGATTAATCGCGATTAAATATTTTAATCGTTTGACAGCACTAGTTAAAATACATTCTCTTTACCCAGTGTATTGTTTATTGACTACTGTATGGCATTCATGGGTTTATCTCTCCCAACACTGTATCATTAAGCCTCCCAGGCACCATCTAAACATTGAGAGCGGCTCACTCAGATCTGTCAATCACTTTCCAGCTCAACCTATAGTGAGAGTTTGGGGCGTGGCTACATTAGTAGGCGGAGTCAGAGGGTGTTTGGATGCTGGTGCTTTGCATTCAGCCTCGGATACAGGAGTGCAAGACAAAATTCTCTGCATTTAGACCTTCAAAGATTAAACATGTACACGTCAAAGCGAACAGGGCATTGCGATGAAACGCACTACAGTGTACACTTCAGTACCATATAGCATCCTCATGCTCATGCATTGTTCAGAAAGACAAATGTACAGTTCATAATGTTTATTCACCGTTAATGATTATTCACATCAATTCTATAATAATGCACCATATCTGGTCAGGCTAATGAATAGGTGGAAGAATAGTTTATTAAGGGTGTTCATGGAGATGAATTTAAGAGGGGTTTAAGGCATAGTATGCTAATTAAAACTGCTTACAATATTTTTTTTTAAATATAAAAAAGCTAATTTCCTAAAAATCTCGCTCGTATCTCTCGTTCAAATCCTGCCATCCCGCTCTCCCCAAAAGCTCCCCAAAGCTGCTAATGAAATTACCAAAATATGCTGTATGTTGCCGAAAAGCGTAAGCTGTCTTCTGTCAGGAGCAATTTGAATTATTTTGATAGTGCAAATGGTTGAAGAGTTACTGTAACATGAATACAGCGATGACGCGCCCGGTTAAATATGGTTAAAGTTGTAATTTTATTGTGTTTTTCATTATTTTTTCAATACATCTATATATTTTTCAATACAGTTTTAGCTATTTTAGTACATTTAGTTGTTTTAGTACAAGTTGATATGAGAAATGTAGCAGCTAGCTGAAATATGAATAAAAAACTTTTATATTTGTGAAAATGTTTTTTTTTTTTAAATGTTTTTTGTTTAATTTAATAACCCTGCCATGACCACCCTAGCAAAACTTTTTTTTTTAAATGATAAATAATGTAGACTAGTGACGACTATTATTAACAATAACGTGAATTATTTATTAAACACTGTCTTTTATCATATTTTTCCAGTAAACTGTACTGATCACAAACTGATCTTTTTGTTTGATCTGGGTCACGTAATGTTTCACGACACAGATGGCCGTGAGCCGAGCGATACAGCAATACATGTTTTAATGCGGCGGAAACACTGCGCCGGTGACATTGACAAATGCGCAGTAAAACTGGAGCAGCTCCTATCTCTCACAGGAATAATAGACTTAAGATGATACTTACCTT